AAATACTTTAATTAATGGCTTATGTAATAACAGGATATTGAATTTGGAATATAATACTAGGTTTAAAGAACAAACACATTATAAATTTAGTTAGAACAAATTTTATTTAATCATTGAAAATAGAAACAAAAAAGTAAAATAAAAATAAAAACTAATATATTACATTAAAAGGGCACTACACACGCATCCGTTGTAAAACAGAGAACACACGTGGGTGTAGCGCCTTCTTAAAACTTAATCATCAAAATAAAAAAATGATTGTTTTATCCTGAAAAGGACTGTTTGGTCTTAAAAAGGGACTATTTAATCCTGAAAAGGACTTTTTAGTTCTGAAAAGGACTATTTAATCCTGAAAAGGACTGTTTAGTTCTGAAAAGGACTATTTAATCCTGAAAGGATTGTTTAGTTCTGAAAAGGACTGTTTAATCCTGAAAAGGACTGCTTAGTTATATTAACCCACTCATTTTTCACAGCATCAAATTTTTGAATTTCTAAATTTTCAAAATACTGAAAGATGCTGAAACATAACATCAAAGAAAAACACAAATTTCTATAGGATAATGTATTTATTACCTATATTATATTAGTTAATATCAATAGCAGTTTTTTTTTAATTTCATATTTATAAGTTAGAAAGTATTTGTACTTTTCTGTACCGTATACCTGTACGTGATGCTAGACTTTCTTTGTTGGTTCTATTTAAAGTGTGATAAATTCGAAATCGTATAAAAAGATTAATCAAAAAAGTTTTAGGAAAATCTTTACATGGRTGATCTAAAAATGTTGCATTTAACATTAAATCTCGTAAAGTTTTACCTACATTAGGCTGAGGAGCTAATTGAATGAAGTTATTATTAAAAATATTATCAACACAAAAAATATATTCATAAAAACTAGAATTTGGCRCTACCAAATTATAAAATAATGAAGAATTATTACTTTGCTCGTATGATTTAWAATGAACATAAAAATTATTACTAGACAAACTACTATTATTTTGTGCATAATCTAAACATATTTGGCATTGRTGAATTTTTAAGCATTGTTTAATAAAGTAACCACAAATATATGTCAGAGCATTTTGTTCAGGMAAATTTACATCTTTATAGTTATTTATGTCTTCAATAGCTAAAGGAATTTTGATTGGATTTCTTTCAGGAAAAAGGATTTTAATTTCTTCAATAGRAATTTCTTCAAAAGTGACAAGAATATCATCTAAATCCTTAACAMAATTAGCACCCTCTGAATACTCAAAATAATTCATAACAAAAAGTTTTTTGAAAGTACGYTTGAACTGTATACATGTAGGGTTAATACAATTTCCATTTTAAATTCTAGTAGAACCAAAAAAATTTTCTAAATGGTCTTGATTCAGTCTATATGTGCAGATTTTAAGATTAGATTTATCTTGATTGTCATTTGATAAATTAGAATAAAGACGAATAAGTCCAGCTATTGATATTAACCAAGAATTAATAAATTTGATATTATATTGTCTATTTATGGAGACCCACTCATTTTTCAAAATATCAAATKTTTGAACTTCTAAATTTTTAAAATAGTTAGACATACGATTTAAAAATGTTATTTGGTCTACAGAGTTTGTAAATGRAAGACAAAACTGTTTGGATCCATTTGTTTTATCATCAGAAATTTGACCAGAATTTGGACGAGAATTAAAAATGTCAAAAAGTTTGTCCATTGAGTCAATAAATTCAATAGTATCGAAGGCGCTACGATTTAACTTGTCACAAGTAACTAGAGTAGTCATCCCTGCCACAACTGTATGACTAAAAACATGAGCAGCATATTTAACACGCATTTTTTTATAACTGTTAGGGTTTATGTGTATATCAGTTAATTTAGGCGCCAATCGATGTACTTGAGATTTATCTATATCATAAAATTGTTTCAGATAAATTTTTTCTGCTATTTTATTTTCGGGCTTGAACCGATAATTAAAAAAGTTATTTATTGTTGCCTTTAATAGATGGGGTGGATCAAACATAAAAACAATTTCTTTACCACTAACATTAAAGTAAGGGGTTTCTGGAGTAATGWKTCGGCTATYCACAAAGTTCTTAAAATTTGATCCTAAATCTGAAATCATGACTCTTACATCTAAGGANAGAGAAATAAGTGGAAAATTCATAGAAAATCCATCTGCTGTAATTGACGAATTTGCATCAGTGAAAAAAAGAAAATTGGAATTTTCAATCTAAAACTATTTTAATAAAGCTATACCTATATCTTTTTTATTAATTTAATTTTTTACTTTTAGTTGTACAACATAAAATAAATCCGTGTAATATGCCTATAATAAATGTATAATACCTATACGGTATTCTGATACTTTTTTATTTTATAAAACTATTCATTAGTTATCCTTACATCAAAATATCGGGCCTACCCAGAAAAAAGTGTCTAGCTACGCCACTGAATGTGGGTATTTGTTCTTCACAAATAAAACAAATTATATTGGATTAAGGCCTAAACAACATTTATATATATATGAATATATTTTTTATTCCGTAATAAAAATTAATTAGATAATTTTATAAACAACAACTAACTTATATAGATACTTATAATATTTAAATTACCTACCAGATAATCCAATCTACTGAGTTTAAAATGAATAACATAGGTAGATGCAGGTACTGTATTCTGATGACAGACGAGTGATGAGTTCAAAACAAAATAAGAATAACTACTTAAGAATAAGAAATAAGAAGTWATGACAATATTTTTGCATTAACGATTTATATAAAAACATTCTAAAACCACAAGAATATATTGTTAAATTAAACAAAAATCTTATCACGAATAACAATATTTCCTGTTAACATACTACTGGTAACTATTTTTAGACATATTAATGCGGGTTTTTACGTCAGAGGAAATTATAGTACGAGTGATTAAATTCAAACATGGTATGATTGTAAAATTAACAATATATTTAATATTTGAATAAACGCTATTTATTAATTTAACAAACAGTGTTATTGAAATCAATACTTTAATTGTCAAATAACAACGTACTTTATGATCATATTGTGATTGAAAAATGAACAATACGTTTAATATATTTTAATAAACGCTTCTTTTTAATTCAACAAACATTTGGTGAAATCAATACAATTATTGTTAAAGAAGTACAAACTCTATGATCAAATTTTGATGAGGTGAATTTGTTAATTTTACCAT